AAAATACACACTACAAAATAACTATTGTATGCATGTCAATGGCAACTAATGTTGCTTATTTTTGTTAATTGTACACTCTAAATTGTACATTTTCTGTAGTTGTGCCAGGTCCACTGAAGAATAGAAAACAAGATATAAACATTTCAATCTGTGTTGTTTAGATTATAGACATAAGCCTATAGAAAATAAAGTGATAAAGTTGGTTTCTACTTACCCTTCTGTTGGATTGGACCAGAATCTAAAAAGAGATGGTTGTCTGGTTTTCTTGTTTGGCCTTAAATCTTCCAGGTCTCCTCGTGCTCGCAACGACGGCATTGTAGTATGGCAAGCCGATTGGGCCAATAATCGTCCGTACAAAAACGCGCAGTTCCAACCCGTATTTTACGCGAGCGCGCGTGACGTAAAAAACGCGCGCTCGCGTAAAATACGGGTTGAAACTGCGCGTTATTGTACGGACGATTATTGGCCCAATTAGCTTGCCATATCCCAAAGGGGGGTGCGCGCGCCCCCCGCGCCCCCGCCTGAATCCGCGCCTGGTGTGTGCTGTAAATTAACACCCGCCAGCGGAAACAGCCACCTACCCAACTGACAGAAGGAATCTCACTATACATCAGCCAATTTCATCCTCCCCTCTCTCATGACAAGGCGCTCACGAGTCCCATCATGAAAAAAAGGTTAATTGTGCGACCCAAGTTATGTGCAGTAATGGGGTGTCAGCAATGATAACTGCGTTATAGTTACAGTCAAAGCAATTAGTTAGATTACCTTGTTACTAAAAAAAGGTAACGTGTTAGTAACGCCATTACTTTCAACGCCGTTACTCCCATCACTGGTCTCCATGACATCACATGGACCCCTGCTGTGCTGCTCCTTCTCTGGACGTGTCCTTAAATGGAGAACCACCCACATTCAGAAAAACAGGGTATTGCCACTCTATTGATCTGTGGGCCATCGATATTTAATTTTTACCCAGTGTTATCATCCATCTCATATCTTATGTGGTCTAAGTTGCTGTGGCTGCTCAGTGGTGACGTTGGTAGCACTGCTGCTTTACAGCAGGAAAGTTCTGGGTTCATTTCCTGGCCCATGGTCTTTCTGCATGGAGTTTGCATGTTCTCCCTGGGCATGCGTTAGTTCTCTCCGGGCTACAGCTTCCTCCCACAGTCCAAAAATAAAAAATGTTGATGGTTTGAAACTCAGTGTTGTTGTGTTCTTGGGCCAGACACTTCACCCTAATTGCCTACTAATGGTGGTTATAGGGTCTGGTGGCATCTGTGTACAGCAGCCATATTTCTGTCAGTGAGCCCCAGGGCAGCTATGTAACTTACCACAATCTGTGTGAAAGGCTGAATGACCAAATGCACTGTAAAACGCTTTGGCCAAATCTCCTGACTTAAGAAGGCACTAAATTAGTACAGGCTACTTACAGTGCCATTTAACAATATTATTTTCTGGTTTTAATATTTTTATTCTGACTTTTCTGCCTTTCTAATTGCAGTGGCAGAGGAGAGCGATCGAGACGAGGATGAAGGTTTAACCATGACTGTAAAAGCTAAACATCCCCTGAACCTGGTTCTGTTTGGAAGACAAAAAGCAGGGAAGACCTCAGCAGCCAAGGCCATTCTAGGTCAGACAGACCTTCCTTCAGCCTCCAACTCATCAGAGTGTGTTAGAAACCAGGGAGAGGTTTGTGGACGTTGGGTTTCTGTGGTGGAGCTGCCTGCCTTGTATGGAAAAGCTCAGCAGGAAGTGATGGAGGAATCATTCAGGTGTATCTCCCTCTGTGATCCTGAAGGTGTCCACGCCTTCATCCTGGTCCTACGTGTGGGTCCCCTCACTGATGAAGACAAGGGAGAATTACAGACCATCCAGGAAACATTCAGCTCTAGAGTCAATGACTTCACCATGATCCTGTTCACTGTGGACTCAGACCCTACAGCTGTAGATGTTAACGTCATAGAGACTGATAGAAACATCCAGGAGCTCCTTCAGAGCTGTGGAGGAAGATATGCTGTTCTCAACATCAAGGATCCAAAGCAGATCCCCCAACTGTTGGACATTGTGGGAGAGAAAAACATATCTGATAATAAAACACAGAGCTACACAACAGTAATGTTTGCAAATGTCCAAAAGGAAAGACTACTGAAACAACAGAAAGAACTAGAAGAATTAAAGACAGAAAAGATGGGCAGTGAGTATCAGTTCTTCATTTTTTTGACACTTGACTTCTGGTTCTATCTTTTGAACTTGCTTTAAACTTTTTGCCAAATGCTTTATTATTACAGGTGATAAGAAAAACACCCCAGAGTGTCTAAGGATTGTCCTGATTGGGAAAACTGGGAATGGAAAGAGTTCATCAGGAAACACCATTCTGGGGAAAAAAGTGTTCACATTTGGATCAAGTCAAAGATCAGTAACTAAACGCTGTCAGAAAGAGCAAGGTTTAGTCAACGGTCGCCCTGTTGTGGTTGTTGACACTCCTGGTTTATTTGGAAACAGTTTGTCCCATGAAGCAGTCAGTGAGGAGCTGGTGAGATGCACCAGTCTTCTGGCTCCAGGTCCACATGTCTTCCTGGTGGTGATTCCAATCGGCAGATTTACAGAAGAGGAGAACGAGACTTTAAAACGCATCCATAAGGTGTTTGGTAAAAATTCAGAAAAATTCACCATAATTCTTTTTACTAGAGGAGATGATCTGGAGTATGAGGAGAAGTCTATTGAAGATTATGTGGAAAAGAATTGTGAGGAACCCTGCAAGAAGCTGATCAGAGACTGTGGAGGGAGATACCATGTGTTTAACAACCATGGGAAATGGAATCGATTACAAGTCAGAGAGCTGATCAGAAAGGTCGACATCATGGTGAGGGAAAATGGAGGCCGCTATTACACAAACGAGATGCTGCAGGAGACCTAAGCTGAGATACAAAAGAGAATGGAGAAAATCCTGAAGGAAAAAGAAGAAGATATAAAAAAACTGAAAGAGGAGCTGAAAAAGAAAAATTGAAGAAGAAAAAGAAGCAATGAAAAGAAAAATTAGAAAACAATTAGCTGAGTAACTTAGAGACGGAAGAAAACATCATCAAGAAAAAACAACAGATAAGAGAAGAAGAAAAGAGGAGGAATAACAACACCAACAGTGGGAAACAGAACGACAAAAAAGATTAAGATGGAATCAGAAGAAAAGGAAACAACTGACAGAAAACTGGAAGAGATGAGAAAACGGATGGAAGAAAAAAAGAGACGTCTGGGAGAAGGAGAGGAAGGAGTGGTGGGAAAAACGACACAGAGAGGATGAAGAAAGAAGAGAAGAACTAAAGAGGCTTCAAGAGAACTTAGACAAAGAAAGAGAAAAATATGAAAATAAAACAAAACAATATGATCAGGAGAGAATGGAAAAAGAATTAGAGGAAAAATATCTGAAACAGGCCAGAAAACAGGCTGAAGAATCCAGCTCTAAGAAATATTATATGAATACAACAAATAGGATAGTAGCAGATCCTTGAAATACAAAAGAAATGTCATGGTGATATAAAACTAAGAATTTCTGTAAAAAAATCAATGATCCAAAAAATGATTAGAACACCATCCAAAATAAGATGTGGACAGGCTTAATATGCCCCCAATTTGATCAATATTAAGCCAGACTCATCAAGCTCTTCCAGGAGGATCCAACACTCTGAACAACTCAAATTAGTTAATTTTACAAAAAGTCTCAATTTACAACTCACCAGCTCAAGGATGTTTATACTCAGTTGATCAAATCAGTTAGTTTTCTAACTACAAGGAGATCCAGCTGGTTACACTGAGTCATTGATTTCCAGCATTCACTCCTAAATCAGCAGATACAGAGCATGCCTCAAAGATTCCAAACAGTATAGCAGAATCGGGATCTGGGTTAATCTGGGTCTGCATGGTGCTGATGATGCTGTAGCTGTTAGCTGTATGGGGGCCACTGGTGTCTGGTGAACACTCATTCTGATGTAAATATCTGTAAACTTTAATTCAGCTTCATTTTTTATATTTGAATTTGTCCGAAAAAAGACAGAGGCAGACTTAAAAGAGGTTAAAATACTATTAGTTGATGGTCTTTTTTTTTGTTCCTGGCATTACATCTATTATGCATAACATTTATTATAACTTAACTTTGAACAAAACTTAACTCCAGAGGAAGAAAAAAATATTTGGTTATCTGATGATTTTGTGTTTTTTCACATTCAGCAATGAAAAGTATTAATATTTTAAGGATTTTTAAATTATAAAGAGGAATGATATAAAAAAAATTACAGATAAGACACCTTCTGTGAAAGTTAAATAGGTTTTTGATCAAGATGTAGCAGTTGGTTGAGAAACTTTTTCTGGATCATAAATGTTTTGTCTTCTGTCTTGTGTTCTGAAACCTGATATCTGCAAGTTGTCTTTGCAGAGACTGATCCAGGGCTTAGAAAGTGAAATTGGAATAAATAAAAAAATACAAAAAGCATTCTGTAATTGTTTTCTATCATTTCTTCTGCCAGTTATTCTGTAACATTTATTGTTTCATTTTTCATTTTTTGTGTTTTTTTTGCAAAACTGGTTTTCTTTAGATAGTCCAATGTGATTAAACACTCAAGGCAGATGCATTGTTTGGAGACTACTAAAAGCATAAATATAGGAATATTGTATATGTAATTATTTTAACTCAAAGCAGAAATGTGTATAAAAATAGATGTTTCATGGATGAATTGCTTCATTTGGTTTGTTTTATGTTAACTGCTTTTAATTAAGACTTGAAAATAAGTGTAAGAGGTTATTTCCTGTTTTTGACCTTGCTTTTTTAAGCCTCTGTGCTTCTGAATTATTGCTTTGCCATTAGCGTATGCATCACAGAGAAAAGCGTAACAAGGTAAATATGGGGAATTTAGCATAAAGTCATTGATACACATTTTCATTTAGTGTCAGAGAAGGCCTTAAAAAAAAGATGGGGGAATGTGGTACTGCAGTCCGTCCCAACCCCTTAACCCTAATCAGTATGCTCCTTTCAGGCTCTGACTGCAAACTTTTTTATGGTACTGTAGAAGAAAAACCAAATGCTTTGTCCCCATTTCCTCGTGTACATGAAAATTAAAAAGTCTCTATATTGCAGACTGTAGGCCCCATGATGTCAGAAAGCTTTAGACAGTGAAATTATTCATCACCTACATAAAAAAAAGTCTGAACACAAAAAGACAGACGTTTGTCTGCTGCACATAAGCTAAGGTGTAGAGTAATTACTTCATAGATTGTGACCAACCTCAAAGAGCCATGGAAATCCCTATCCGGTACATGGAGGCATTAACCAAAGGCTTTCATGTCTTGGAATACATCCCAATAATCTACAGTATAATCAATAATACAGACTGACTCCATCAATTTCTGCTTGGTTCTAAAAAAATGTAAGATCATCGTAAAAAATGCAATTTTCACTGCAGGGTGTTGGTGGCCTAGTAGTTAGGGCATTGCCCTAGGAGGTTCTGCTTTCAAGCCCCAGTCCCACAGACTGCATCTCTGGGTCCCCGAGCAAGAGCCTTAACCCCCACGCCGCTCCCTGGGTGCTGCACAATGGCAGCCCACTCCTCCCCAAGGGGATGGGTTAAATACAAAGAGTTTATTTAATTACTCTGTACTTGTGACCGTGTCAAGTTATGTGGGGTTTCTAGCTTCAGCTCATGCCAAAACTTGAAAACGGCTGGTCATCACCAAGAAGGACGCCAGGCACAACTCAAATCCTTCCCATTTTGTTTTTTATTTGAGATCTAGGATTGAAATTGAGTTTGAAAACCTTTCAAAAAAATTGACAAACAGAAGTGTATTAGTTTAAAACAAAAACAATTTGACCAACAAAAACTGAATTAGTTCAAAACAAACATTTTCACTGTAGCTCACCCATAAGCATAATACAAACTGAATATTACCAGACTACAAGCCATACTACAATATCTTCTAACTCAACTTCAACTTTTTTTTTTCTATAAACAATATTATAATAATAAACTTAACAACCCTAACATCTTGGTGCCATGACCCGCATCCCAACATTCCTGCTCGCTGACTGAGGGAGGAAGACACTCTGAAAGCTACCGGTAGTCAGTGTCCCATCAGAAGGGGCCCGTTTCAATGTCCAAGGAAGTGAATTCTTCGCCAGGCCAGCACCGTAGGTCAAACTCGTTCTGCCAACGACGGATTGACGGGATCCGATACCAGAACAAGGACAGGCAGACCAAGTAAGATTTTTGCCTATTTTTTTGGGTCAGAGTCCCATGCACTCTAAGGGGGTTGCCCAAGCTTGGATATGGCTTCAGTTGGTGGCAGGCAGCTGGGGCAGGTTAATCCATCATATTTTGTTAACAGGCTGTTAACTTAGCATATAACGTATTTATAACTTATAACTAACTTATATAGCTTGTAACATATCGTGAGATTACTTGTCACTTGCTCGTTGTCGGTTGGAGCAGTTCATTTCAGTTGGAGCTTTTGGGAAATTACAACGATTTCTCCAGTTACCATTCAACCTAAATCACATTGGAGGCCCAGAATAAAACAGCACCCTCTAAAGAAGGAAGCACAGGAGGGTATCAGACCAGCTGTAAAAAAAAAAATACTCATGGCAGGAATAATCAGACCATGCCCCGATTCCCCATGCAATACTCTCATCTTTCCAGTCCAAAAGGCTAATAAAAATGATTGGAAAATAATTCAGCACCTGCGAGCTGTATATCAAGCTGTACAGACCAGAGCTCCTAATGTTCCTGATCCGCACACTCTGTTAAACACTTTAAGCCCTGAAAACAAGTATTTTTCAGTTATTGAATTGAGTAATGTTTTTTTCTCAGTACCAATTCATCCTGACTCTCAATATTGGTTTGCTTTCATATTTGAGGGTAGAAAGTATACATATACCAGACTTCCCCAAGGCTTTGCGGATAGCCCTACTATTTTTACCCAAGCTATTCTGGCATGCCTGGATGATTTTGTTCCCAAATGTGACAGTCAAATTCTTGTCTATGTAGATTACATTTTAGTAGCAGCAGAGACAGAGGATGGTTGCAGAGCTGATTCACTCCAGTTAATGCATCACCTCTGCAAAATAGGAAATAAAGTTTCTGAAGATAAGCTGCAATGGATGAGACAGGAACCTCTTTATTTAGGTCATTCATTGTCTGCTGATGGAAAACGTATTCTAGAAAGAAGAAAAAAGGCCATTGCTGATCATCCAAAACCAGTTATAAAAAAACAGATTATGCCTTTTCTCGGGCTGTGTAATTATTGCCGAGCTTGGCTCCCTCACTTTGATGAAAAAACACAGCCATTGCTAGATCTGATCTACTCCTCCCCTATGGCAATAACAGACAAAATACAATGGAACTTTGAGGCCGAGCAAAAGTTTGTGGTCTGCAGAGCTCCCTTTCCTACAGTCTTGGTTTCTACACAGATAAGTATCTTTGCATCCCTAATCTTCTGCATGACATACTAGACATCTCTTACAGGCTGGCTCCCAATTTCTCCAAAGCATCCAACTTTTCACTAGGCTTTAGTTCTTTGAATATGGTTTTAAATCTTTTCAATAATTATCGATATCGATCAAAATGCATTTTTTTTTATCGATAAGCTTTTTTTCATATATCGCCCAGCCCTACTTATTTTATAAGCTGTATGTAGCCTAACTGACAGGTTGTGTATATGTAGACAACAGAGTATGGCTCTAATGTTTTCACTTGTTTAGGTAGAGTTAAATGTTTCAGTCGGAGAGCAAAAAAATATTTTATATTAAAGGCAATGAAATAACAGATGAAAATAAATTATTCTAGAAAAAAACAGAAAATATATTTTATACAGAATAAAATTGTGAAGGAATACTGGATATGGCAAACAGAAAGGGTGACGGTGAAAAGTATGAATGTCTCATTTTACACTGCAGCTTAATTTCTTGTGAACCTCAAGATTTGTCTTTTAGATTTAAGACTTGTCCTGCTTCCACAACCGTACTGTTGTATACGTGAAGAAATGTCTGAGAGTTTAGTTTCATAGGTCTGTATCTATGTAAACTTAAAGTTTGGTCCCAAGCAGCCACGTCTGGCAGTGTCCCATACTCACTGTTGCATCCTGTAAAAAAAAGACAAAATAATGTTTCACACTTAAACATATTTGAATTTAAAATACATGTTTACATGGAAACTTTACCCTGTATTTGTGGTAGCCATAAATAGATTACAAGACATGGGAGGGAGCGTAATTTCCAGCAACACCAGCCTTAAACGCCCCAGACCCATTATCAATAACAACAGTAGGAATTTCATCATCCATTTCTGAAAGGAAGTGATGAAAAAAGAATTACATTTTTAAAGACAACATAAAAACATGAAACCTCTTTACTTGTGGCCTTTAAAATAATACTTTTTAGAAAAACAGTACGGCAACAAAGTATTTAGTCAAGCAGTGATTGAGCAAGTTCTCCTACTTTGAAGGATGATATATGTCTGCCATTTTCATTATAGGGATATTTCAGCTATGAGCGACGAAATGAGAAAGAAAATCCAGGAAACCAGATTCCAGGATTTGTTTGTAAACTGTGATGGAAAATAAGTATTTTGTCACCCACAAACAATGAAGATGTCTGAACCTCACAAACTGTTGGGATCCAAAGGTTTGCCCTCCAGAGGGCTGTGTGGATCCCTTCCTTTATATAAGCTGTTTGATAGCTTCACTCTGAGCCGGATCGTTGCCATGCTTTTCCATGCCATGTACTGCCATGCTCTGTCTTGCCTTGCTCTGCCAAGCCATTGCCATGCCTGCCTGAATCTGCTTTTCTGTGCCTGTTAAACCCAGCCTTTCTAACCAGCTAACCTGTGAGTTTCTGTTTATTTATCTGTCCCTGAGTTTAACCTGTACTCTGTCTCCTCTGCCTTCCAGGGCAGAACCCTGTGCTGATCCAAATAAACATTGGACTTTAATCCTGCCTCAGAGTCTGTGGAGTTTCTGCATTTTGGGCTAGTAACCTGCTAAATCATGACAGAACGATCCGGCCAACAGACTAGCCCAGCAGACTCCTTCCATGCTCACCTGGTGAGGCCCGCTCAGCGCCGTCCGCTCCCTCCCAGGTGGGAGGCGCTGCGTCGTCACTATGATGAGTTAGTGGCCGCTTTAGCCCCTGAGTTAGCCCCGTGCCGTCCAGAGACCCCTGAGTTGGCCCCGAGCCGTCCTGAGACCTCTCAGCAGGTCGTGAGGGAGAGGTTGTGCCGACGTTTTTTGGATCATGAGTTGGAGATGGAGCTGCGTCGACGTAATGAGGAGTTGGAGATGGAGCGGCGTCGACGTAATGAGGAGTTGGAGATGGAGCGGCGTCGACGTAATGAGGAGTTGGATCGTAAATGGGATATGGAGCGGCGTCGACGAGATGAGGAGTGGAATCGTCGAATGCAGGAGATCTGGGGCCGTCCAAGGACCCCTGTTCCTGAAGTGCAACTGCAATCGGCGGCCTCCTGTGTTCCTGTGGAGCCACAATCGGTGGTCTCCCCTGCTCCTGGGGTGGAGCTGCAGTCGGCCGTTTCCTCCGGGCCTCCTCCTGGGCCGCGGTCGGCGGTTTTCTCTGAGCCTCCGCTGAGCCTCCTCCTGAGCCGCGGTCGGCGGTTTCCTCTGAGTGCGGGGTCAGAAACCAGGTGATCCGAGAGCCGAAGAGGTATCCAGGGAGAATCCAAGCAGAGGTCAGAAAAACAGTCCAAGTTCGATAACAGGCAAACTCCAGGCAGTCAGGCCAAAAACCAAACTGAGCAGGGCAGACAGGGAAAAGGGCAAAAAACTGAGAAGAATTCCACAGAACAGAACACTTACTTTGACAGCTTGGGTAACTCACACTGACAGTTTGAATAATCCGACGTTGATGGCAGGAAAGCAAACAGCCTAAATAGCTGCAGGGACCAGGTGAATCAGATTGGCAGTAATCAGCCACAGGGCCAATTAGGCAGGTGAGCAGGAACAGAGGAACAAAAACAACCATCAGCGCCAGGATTATGACACTTTATTATTTTTTTATACTGTACAATGTTAGAAAAAGCTTGATCAGTAATATTACTAAATCAGGCAACATAAATTAACACCAAATGGTAAATCACCCATCTTAAATTAACCAATGAGCTACAGAACTTTTTAACAGAAACAGAGTGTTTCCTCCAAAAATATTAATACACATGTATATCTGTCACATGCTTGTCAGGAGGCCAAGCAGTCTTGGAGGTGGGACCCAAACTGGTTGACAGAAGAACATGCTTTGTAGAGTTTTCAGCAGACAAAATTTTAATTTCTTCTTGTGCAGGACATCAACAAAACCACACCAACCTAAAACAATGGCAGACATGTTTCTTAAATAGAGGAGGAACGAAATTGGA